TCAGATATACCTGTTGACTGACTTAACGAATCTACCATTCATCATCATCTGTCAGTGCATTTCAGATTCTAGCCACTTGTCCCATTTATGAAACAAAAAGTGTTTCCTCATCTCACCATTTGGTTCTTTTGCCATTTACCTTAAATCAATGTCCTGTGGCTCTACCAGTAGGTCCAGTTTTTCTTTATTTACTGTGTCCAGACTCATCTTGTCAACCTCCTCTTTTCCAAGGAGAACAGCCCACCACCCATATAATGGATGGATTCTATTATGGATTCTTCATTATTGTAAACATGGAATTGGGAATTATCCTCTCAAGGCAACCTTGCCATTAATAGTGACTAAGTTGGGACAAAGCAACTCTGAGCAAGGGTGGAGAGTGAATCTACCCAGACTGCTGACCCAAACCAGTTTGGCACCCAGCTAAATAAAGTTTTCAACAAAGATCTAATAATAGGTTAGATGCTTTCAGTCTTGGCTAAAAATGTGACATGGTTGTGAAGAGGAAAAATTGTTTGAAAGAGAGAAAACGAGGTTGATTCAATTTGTCAAAAGGTTTTGAGCAAAAGTGACAATCAGATTGGGGGAGGGGCCTGGGTTCGAAACCTACCATGACAGATGATGGAATTGGAATTTAATCAAAATCTGGATTGCCGATAAGAAAACCCCATCTGGTTCACAACTGTCCTTTAGTGTAGACTTTATTCAATCTGGCCTACATGTGAGTCCAGAACCACAGCAATGTGGTTGGCTCTTAACTACCCTCTGAACAGTTATGGATGGGTAACATTTGCAGGCTGAACTAGCGACACCCACACCTAATGCATAAATAAAAACTAATTTAAGTACCTGCTTTTGGAAGTGTAGTGGAGCAAATATGCTTAGATATGTGTTTTGTGGTAATTGTAAAATGTTTGTTGAAAAATTAGTTTCCATGTTGCTTATTATTTTGGGAAGAACTACCAATTGGATATGAATGTGAACTACCAGAGTATTTGCTTTTAATGGACTTATTCCTTGGGATAAAGCCACTTGGCTGAGACATGCAGCTAAAATGTAGATTAATGACATGACAACCTGGTTTTCAGGCCTTTGCAGGTTTTAGTGAGCTTGTATCTTGGGATACTATAGGATTATAACAGAAAGTATCAGGTTTTTGGAATGCTTTAGTTTTTCTGACAATGTGGAATTGTATTCTTTACAAATTTAATTGGTTTGGCATGAAGTAAGCTGAGGTAGCTGTCTATGTTTTGTTTTGCAGGGATCTTAGCAACGTTAATTGTGAGGAACTAGGGCCTTTGCCTCCAGGTTGGGAAATCCGGAATACGGCCACAGGAAGGGTCTACTTTGTTGACCACAACAACAGGACAACACAGTTTACAGACCCACGGTTATCTGCAAACTTGCATTTTATTTTAAAGTAAGTAAAGAAACATCTTTTTTGTAATTGATTTTCTCCATCCCCACCCACCTTTTTTAAAATTTCAAAGAGTGAATTTCAAATGTAGTTTATGGATGTCCATTATTGAAATTGGTATTGTGGGTTTTTTCCAATGCAGCTGTTTAAACAGCACTTGAAAACAGATATTAACAGCAATCTGGAATCGTTTGATTGTACAGTTATTAAGCTGTCCCATCAAAACATTTGAAGTTTGGCTATTAGCAAGCTTTAAAAGTCAGAATTGCCAACTGCTCTGATTTATGTCAAGTCTTTCAGACTTTTCACATATATGTTTTGTTACCAAATGGTTTCTCTTTCATATCCTGCCCTTTACTCATAATGTCTTGCTTTGAGGAAAAAGAGCACTTTGTTTGATGATGATCCCATCTGATTGTTCAAATAAATGTGCTTAGCATTTCTCTTTGGCGGCAAACCCGTTAGGTGTCTGTAGCCGTTTCCTCCTGTGTAGAAGAACTACTTGATCCATGATCTGATGGAAATAACCAGTAGCAAAATAGGGTAGAGTTTCAGTGTCAAAGACCTAAAAGCTGAAAAATAGCTCAGCAATTTGTACCAAATAAAACTTCCCAGCACTTGATTTGAAATTGGCACAGGGCAAGTGTTTAAAACCCAAGTGAACACACAGATTTGTTCAGTCAATGAACTTAAAGAATGATTCACCGAACAAAAGAATGGTAATGCCAAATGTAGTACAGTCACTTAACAAGCATCGTTGACTGGACCGTTTGCTTCATACACAAATTTCTCACGTTCAAAAGATATTTGTATATGTTGTAATGAAGAAGATTACTTACACTCTACATGCTGCATTTATTCTTGATACTACAATGTTAGACTCATGTTGAGGCACCCAGTAATTGGTGCATCTGATAATTAAATTTCGAAACTCATTTCTATTCATGTAGAAAATACTGTGCAGCACAAAAAATGCATTTGCATTGTCTTAGTTCTTCTGGGCGTAATTGTATATTGTGCACGAGCTTTGGAGCATTTGTATAAAGGGGAATTTTTTCCTGACCTTTTCTTTGGTTTTGAAGAGCTTAAGCCAGGTACCTTTTAATGACAGTTCAGGTTGTCAATCATGTTCCAAACCAGTGGTTAGAGATTTTTGGATGAAGGATGAAATAGCCATGTAAATGCAAAGGGATAACATTTGTCTTAGAAGGATTTGAATATCTTGTCATTGAATTATAACTGCCAGCTGCTTAATGTGGACAAATTTAAAATACTTAATATTGGAGCAAGTACCTTAAAAAGAGCATATGTTAAGTAGAACAGTCAAGCAACAGTATACGTCAGGCAAAACATCAAGGATTACCACTGTAGATTCTATAAATCATTTTTCACGATTATATACAGAAGAGGGCAATTGATGACTGGATTGCATTAGTAGTAATAGGGATAGCTGAAGGAATTGCATTTCTGCTGTACAAGAAATTCGTGGAAACACTAGCTGAAACGCTGTGTACCACTCTAACCATCTAATTCGCAAAGTTATATGTTGTTAAGCAGACACAAATGCAGGTAATGAAGGTCATTGTACCTACCGAGGTTAGCCTTAGAAAAATGGTCAAATAAATTGGGATTATATTCTTCGGAATAGATTGAAAGCTATCTCATTAAAAGACTGATCCTAAAAATTTTTCACCATGGTGATGGGTTCAGTAATGAAGGGGTGCACGTTTGAAAATCGAATTAAAAGACAAGTTGGTAGAACATTTCCCATAAAGGCTAAGAACATTGTCAAGGAAGGTTTTTTGAAGTTGCTGTGTAAATGTAAATTCTGTATTCTCAAGAAGAAAAATATTGAGCTGTATGCTGCAATCGTGACTAAGTGAAGTTCATCCATGGGAGATTTGTTTGGCCCAGTGACCTTTCATTTCCTTTTTAAATTAAAAAAAAAAAAAAATCTGTTTTGGTGTTGAGACTAAAGTGATCACACATTTTAAAAAGATTGTGCTATAATCTTACTATTTAGGATATTCCTGATTATTGGTTATGATTGTTTTTCCTCGTTGGGTCAAAAATATTTTTACCATATCTGGCTATGGACCAATAAAAATGTAGTAGTATATATTAATCAATGCATAGAGCCAATCTTTGTCTAGTTATTTAAAAAGTCATAGGCACATCTGGTCATGTAGTTCTATTGATGTTTTAGTGTGACACTGCATGCACTACCATGTGTTTGCCAGTATTTGTTCATTTATACATGTAGAGAGCTGGAGCTGAGTTTGACAGTGAGCTTCATTATCTTGATGAATGGTATATCAGGCTTGAAGGGTCAAATGGCCTACCCTTGCTCCAATTTATTTTATTTAAAGTTCAGTTCAAGTTGTAACAAAGTAGTTCTTACCCAGTAGATCCTGTAAATATTGAGATGTTGCTTTTTACTTTACTTTCATAATAATACTTTGTACTAGACTGTGCCATGAAATATTAAAATTCAAGAACTTCAAGTGAAAAATATTAAGTGGGTTTTTTATAATTAATTTCTGTACCTTTTTTTTGTTTTAATTTCTTTATTATGGGTACTGTGCTACAGGAGGGACTCGAACCAAGGACCGAATCTACATTACCAACATACCAGGTGAAGTAATGAGAGCATTGCCTGAAAGATAAATAATTTCACTTTATCCAAAGCCACTTCCTCAATCAGAAACGACTTGCATTAAATGGGTGGCTAGAAAAGAGAAAATAATGTTGCATTAACAGTATATCTGATCTTCAAGAGGATATGGGTACCCTTGTCTCTATTTAAAATAAGTCAGATCATAAAATACCCCACTCTTAGCAAACAAGACCTGTTTGATCTTTTGCATGGGGTGGCGATGCATATTTGGACTTTGCTATTACTCTGGACCAGTCAGCAAATTTCAGTAAATGTGAATTTCAGGGAAAAAAAAACCTCTAAAGAAATAAATCAATAATTTAAGTGAGTATTTCATTAAAAAAAACTGCCACCAAAAATTACCAAGCTGCAAAGATAATTAATAAACATTTTTTTTGCCTTTTTGGTTAAAAAGTAGAGATGGAGATATACATACTAGACCCCAAGTCCTGATCACCAGGAAGGGACAAAGATCCCAGTCAAGCTGAGAAGTTGGGTTTAATTATTATTGACCTTGATTTGCCTCTCATGGTGCACACTCTGTCTGTCTCCCACTTACGCATCCATAGTCTCCTTGTCATGTGCACATGTCTCCACCCTTCAACCCTCCAAACCATAACTGTTCTACCATATGCATCTACTCTCCCCGACTCACCCTCCCACCCTTCTTGCCCCCCTACATGTGCTCTCCCCCTTTCTGCCCTCCCACACATGCCCTTGCCCTTTCTGTCCTCCCATGTGTGAGAGCCATCCATATCCCACCCACCAATTTTTGAGGAGGGGATGTCTGCTTTAACTCTTTCACCTCCATCTCTGGCTTAAAGTCCAACCCTGCAAATGTTCAGCAAATCTTGGGCTCTTTCACCCCGTCCCCCACACACGCCGTCAAATTTGATCCTTTTTGCCTCAAACCCGTTTCTAATGAATGGAACGTCCGCTCCCAGTGATGAGGACCCTCTGTATTTTTCACCTCTTCAGCAGCCTGCAGCTTCTTTGCCCTGTACCTGATCGACCTGAGCCCCTTTGTCCTGCACCTGCCCAGCTTGAGGAACCTATGTCCAACACCCACCTGATAACTGAACCTCTGTGTCTCAACCCATTCCCTAGCTATCTCTCCAGTACCCTCAGCAGCCTCTGCTTTGCTGTGGTCATTCCAAGTGCACAGGCCTCAAGCTGGATGAAGTTATTAATGTTGCTGTGCAATTGTAGGCTCACTAGTAACCCTATTAACAGCAAGAACAGGAGAGAAATGGCCTTTGATTGGAGGAGTACTTCCTGGAAAGCTCATCCACTGGTACTGTCTACTTTGGAGCACCAGTGGCAGGCTACATTAGAACCACCTACAGACAAACCAGTTGTACAGTTATAACATTTTGAGAGCTGAGAGAATTGACTAGAAAAAGGTAATGAGAATATTGATCTTGGACTTGGGAGATAATATGGAAAAATCATGTTATGTATGGCTAGCTGGAAATATGTTGCTAACTCCTAAATAAGAGAAATCAGAAAAATAGCTAATAATGATTCATGTGTTGCAACTTCCAGTCTGTGAATTGACTATGAAATTGCCAAAAGTAAAAGGCCTATGACAGGGTGCTGAAGTTTTAAGAATGCATTAAACTGACTTAGCTGTCTTGCTCAATGGTTGGGTTAGTTGTTGTGCAGATATCACAGTCGTCAATTTTCCATTAATTAAATCATATTGTTTGTCTTGTGTTTCACCACGATATATTCTTTTAAAATTGGATTTTCTCTTTGGAGCAGTTTTGCAGAACACACTTTAATTTTGATACTTCTGAGTTGCTGCAAAGTGAAATGGTCACAAAGTACTTAAGGTTAGTTCAGAAGCAGGTGGTCAAGTGTGGATAGATAGAAAATAGGTTGAGTTTTCATTAACATTTTAATGTGTAAATTTTGAAAAAGGACACCTTACAAAAAGTAAATTAAATGGCTATTGGGTAAAGAATGTTATGAATGATTTAAAGCATTTTATAGGTGGATGTGCATGTTCAAAATAATTCAAAAGTGAATTGTATTTTTGAGTTTTTTTTTGTGTATTAGTTGTTTTTCAAAGAAGATTAATAGAGTAATGTGTGCCAGAGTTTCATTGCTAACCAAGCTTTCATATCAAGATGGCTTACTGTCCCAGAGACAGAAGATAAACGAAAAATCTTTGAGGAAAAAATAAATAAAATCTAGAGTGAGCGGACTTAAGAATGAAAGATTGTCAATCTTTATTTCAAACTTGTTAAAATGTGCTGCTTTTGGAACTCATTTCTACCACATACAAATTTGATTTCAGTGCTTCTGTATACAAAGTATAGCTCTGTTGGGAGTGGTTGCAAATTCACTTTAATTTCTAAAAGCTATGGCCTATCCATAGCTTGCACGACTGACTTTTAAGTAACTTCAGCAACAAAAACAGAAATTGCGGGAAAATCTCAGTGGGTCTGGCAGCATCTGTGGAGAGAAGTCAGTTGACGTTTTGGGTCTGGTGCCCCTTCTTCAGAACCCAAGCTTCTTCAGGTGTGACTTAACTTTTTCATGTCACATGTTTTGGAAGGTGTGACATAAGATGTTGTAGCAGCTGAACTGCAGCATCTGTTTGATTCAAAGTGCTATACTGTCTCATTGAAAGAACTATTCACTTCTCTGTTTTACCACAGTCCTACAGCTTTTACATTTTCAAGTACATGTCCAATTCCCCTTAAGAGTAACCACATATTGAATCATCTTGAATGTTCATTCATACATTGAATTTCAGGTTATCATAACTTGCTTAAAACAAATTGCATTCATTTCTACTGGTTTTGCACTTTGCCACAAACTCACTTATTTGTAAGTACATCTCAGTTGCATCTGTTGTTCTCGTGTTATGTAGAATTCCTTTTGGTCGACCTTGTGTCTTTTTGATTGGCTGATATTCCCATGTTTGGTCCAGGATCATAGTATGAGGCATTCTCAGAATTTGGTTATATAGATCAAACTTTTCTTCTGCACTTCAACAATAAGTAATGATTTCTGGAATTCAGTTCAGTTTGTCATATTGATAAATTATGAAGTGCTAAAGAGCCTGTGTAATGCTCACGTTGATCCAAAAAACCTGGATCAAGTTTATAAACAGGACTGACAAATCTGCAGTGCTTGCAAGAATTCTAATGATGTCAATCTTGTGCAGTCACATGAAGTATGAATCAACATGTGAATTATACCCTTTTAATGAGCTGGTGCTAACAAATTGTGATTTTTCATAATGAATTTGTTCATTGTGAATGGTTTGGTTGATTGAATTGGTTAATTGATTCTGGTTCTCTGTGCAAATGAATTGTACTTAAAAATCTGAAATGAGGTGTTGATCATACATTTTAATGTATCATTTAAACACCAGGTTAGTACCTAAAATAGCTACATCTATTGATAACTTTATAGAGAACACAAATCATCTACTTACCAATATTTTTTTCTGGTACTGATAGTAACGAATGCTATTACTCGAGTCCAACCTACCAGTATTTTACTTTTCTGTCAAGCACTGAGCATGACCATCAGTCTTTGCACCCTGATTAAATTTTATAAACTTTTGTTTCAACAACTTAAGAGAGTGAAGAACAGTATTCCCCTTTTACTGATAGAATTCTAATAGCAAGGCAAACAAGTTCAAATGCAAGAATATTGTATTGTGAGCAGCTTTGAAAAGATATTCCATTTAGTAGTTCTAACTTTTATTTTAGAGAGGAGTGACTGCCATAAAAGGCTATCATCACAGCATTTGTACATCATGCAGCAGAAACTAAGAACTTCTAAAATTACTTGAGATCAGCTTACGCGTGCGTGGTCAAATACTTTTAACATAAGTTATTTCATCCTCCCTGCTGGATCCACATTCTCCCACCCACCTAAACCCGCAATTTACTCTTCTACAGTTCAAACCATGCAGGTGTCCTGTTCTTAAGACCCTGTGAATATCTCTCTGTATCTGGCTGCTAGCAGCTGTGGAAGTACGTTCTTGGGTGATATGCTGTTTGATTTTAAATATTTTCTTCCCTCTACCACTGCCCCCAAACTTCCCACCACACCCCAGTTGGAAACTGCATAGCTTCTATTCATCACTACTACTGGTAATGAAACAATGCCAGAGTTTGTCAACACATAGATGTATGCTCAATTCTCTGATTCACCAAATATAGTTTCCTCCAACTTCTATCACAAGTTAAACTGTTTAACAGGTATTTGCAAATGTAGGTGTATGTATGTATGTTTAATTGTGCCTACTGTAAGCTGGTGTTCTTCCAGCCAATGAAATAGCCAAAGCAACAGATGTTTGAAGGAATGGTAAAGGTTATGGGTTCAAGCAAAAATTGTTTATAGTAAGAAAAATTCAGTGGCCTGGAAATGCAGACAGTTTTCGGTAAATAGTCAGACACCACAGTGACTGAGGGATGCTGCTTTATATGCTCCTCTTAACAGAAGCATGTAATAAACATCATTACGAAAAACCACGATCCTATCTTGATGACTGTCTGCTTATCCAAACTTTATTTTCACTTGTCTCAGTGGACCTTTTCCTGGATAGCGTCCAACTCTGGTAATATGGATGGGAACTACAAGCAGCTTATGTTTAAATCCTTTTATTAAGGGTCTAAATCCATAAGTAATATGGACTTTAAGGGGACTTTTTCTCCTCCATTCAATTTAGGTTTTTCACTCTGTTCTTCCAAGTACCAAGCACCATTTTTCGGTGAGGACAGCAGACAAGTAACCTGGCCCCAGGCTGCTTCTGTTATTAACTGGCTGCTGGCAGACACATTAGCGTGTCCTGTGTTAACTTGCCCTCCAATTTTCCTTCATTCCCTCGTTATGCAGGAAACAAGTAATTTTGATTCATTGCAACCCCTTGATGACCTAAAATACAGGAGCTTTGGTCACTGTGCTTGTACTTTTTTTATGTGTTTCTCCCTTTCTGATGCAGTTTACTGCAA